TTAAACCGCATAAACACATTTCATTACACCAAATACACAAAATAATGTTCTTTTTAGCAACATCATATGACCCCTTTAAGTAGTGGGGTTATATGAGCCTGTTTAAATGTTGAGGGAAAAACACCAGTGTGAAGGGATGTGTTAACGATGTGAGTGAGTGCAGGTACAACGGCAGGAGAAATGGCTTGAAGGAGATGAGATGGAATAGGATCAAGCGGACAAGTAGTAGGATGATTGGAAAGGATGAGTTTAGAGACTTCTGCCTCAGAGAGTGGAGAGAAGGATGAAAATGAGTGTATGTTTGCTGGTAAGATGTGTTTGACAGTTTGTGGTGTGGCAAATTGTGCACTGAGGTTTGTAATTGTATTAATGAATAATGTGGCAAAGTCGTCAGCTGTTAATGCCCTTTCACACGGGACGCGGTGTGAAATTTTAACTTCAAAGTAGTCCATAATCCATAATAATGCTTCCTCCAGTGAAACAGTCATCTTGTCTGAACAATCTGAACAGATCAAGCACTGTTTACAAGCCAAAACAGTCTAAAACAGCTCTAAACAAATATGTGGGTGGATTTTGATGTGAGAGACATGAAATGGACATTTTTTTTCACTGGAGGAAACGTTATTATGGATAGAGGACTCGCATTTTGGTAGGAATTGATGCTTTAAAGTTAAAACATAGTCAAAGGGGTCATATGATGTTGCTAAAAAGAACATTATTTTGTGTATTTGGTGTAATGAAATGTGTTTATGCGGTTTAAGTTTAAAAAAACACATTATTTTCCACATACTGTACATTATTGTTTCTCCTCTATGCCCCGCCTTTCTGAAACGCGTAGATTTTTACAAAGCTCATCGGTCTGAAAAAGCGAGGTGTGCTGTGATTGGCCAGCTATCCAGTGCATTATGATTGGCCGAATACCTCAAGCATGTGACGGAAATGTTACGCCCCTCACATACCGTGTCCGGCCGGAGCGACGAGACATAAACATTAAAACCCATTACAAACGAAGCATTTGTTGCATCCAGTGGGGACATAATTACGGATTATAATGACTTATACTGTCTTTTTACGCACTGCGTTGCATCGTGCCGCGTAAACATAAAACCATGTCTGCATGTGTGATCGGAGAAATGACAAACAACAAGTGCTAACGTTAATCCACACTGCCCAAAACTCGCGTTTGAATCATCAGTGGCAAATCCTTTAAATGAAAACGTACTTACAGACTGAGTCAGAACTGCCGGCATTGTAGTCTACTCT